ATGATCGTAAACTGCCTTATCTATACTTAAATATATTTTTTCTTGTCCTTGCATTTTTTTAATTATTTCATTATTTATATCAAGACTTATTTTATTCGTAGGACATAAAATTACAGTAGAAAGTAAGGCTGTTTCATTATTACTTTCTAAAGCATTATGAAAAACATCTGCTATCAAGTTATCTGTTGAAATGCATTGTGCCGGAATTTCAATTTCATCATTAATTGTAGAAAGAGTTCCATTTCCAAGATTAAGAAGCCATTATGCAAACATTATCTCATCTGGATTTGTTCTCATATTTTGATAAAGTTGTAAAATAGTAAAATGTTTCCAAAGTTCAGAACTTTTAATACTTGCAGCAACACTTGTAACTCTTGAACCTTTTGGAATTACTGGTAAAACTTGTCTGAAATCGCCACCTAATACCATAATTTTTTCTCCAAATAGTTGATTAGTTTGCATTATATCTCGAAGACCAGCTTCAATTGTTTCTAATGCTTGACAAGAAGCCATTGGTGCTTCATCCCAAATAATAACTTTTGCTTTTCGTATTAATTCAGCATCTTTGCTATTAGCAGAAATTAATATATGTGAATTTGTATCTAAAATTAATGGTAATTTGAAACGATAATGTACTGTAGTTGCTTTTGGTAATAGATTTGCTGCAATTCCAGTCCAAGCTACTGTTAATACTTCGAAATTAAGTTTATTTAACATATAATATAGCGTTTTGTATAAAAATGTCTTTCCGGTTCCACCAGGTCCATTAACAAAGAAACATTTCTTGTTATTTTGTCTATTAACAGCAGCTATAATTTCATCGGCAATAAATCGTTATGCATTATTTAGCATAGCATACATTTTCTCGCTGATATCATTTTCATAATCATTATCAACTTGTTCCACATAATTTAATATATCTGTAGTTGTAGGATGCAATATGCAAAAATCTTTTTCCAATGATTTTTGAAATTGTACCAACTTTTTATTAATATCTTGATAAGTAAGAATTAAAGTGACTTCAGTACTATAACTACAAACTAAATCTTCATAAAGATGTTCCTTATATTGATTCCAAAGTAATGAAGGATTATTGATATTGCCCCATACTAACACTATCGCAAACAGTTGTCTTAATTCGTTTGGCATTTTCCATTGAACTGCTTCATCCAAACATTTTCTCTATTCATTATCATCATCTAGTAGTTCTCTCATTAGAGCTGCTTCATGAAAAGAAGTATATACATAATTGTTAACAGTTCTAAGGTCTTCGAAACTTATAGCTCCAGGTGTATGCAAAAGTAACAATCGAAGACAAAATCGTTCCATATCTGATGGATAAACAGTATACATTCTGCCAATAATTTTCTCAGTGTATTTTACCCGCTTTTTCCATATTTTAGTTGACTTTTGGAACATATAGAATAATGGAATATTGTGATATATAATTGTTCTTGCATTAATATCATTTTCATTTAATTTAAACCATGCAGTTAACATTGTATGCTGAGTTTGCGCAACATGAAGAGCTTTAGCTTCATTTCCAACACTAAAAAAAATATTTTGCTTATTTGGTAAGTGTACTGGCAATCGAATAATAGTATGTGACTTTTCTTGCATTTCATATTCACTTAATCGCCAAAATGCTTCAGGTGCACTAATATAGTGGGAATCAATAAAAGCTGAAATTTCATTATAGTCAAGTATTTGTACTTGATTGCTTCCAACAGTTTTAAGCCGAAATCTAGCACAGTCATAACCCTTGAAAATATACTTGTAAAGATATTTGAAACTTTTTACTGTAGAACAGATTTCAACATTAATGTGGGCTTGATACTTTAACAATAAATATGGATTATATGGTACAATCCATCGATTGTTTACTTCATGTCTTCCAATTTTTATTGTTCTACCAGTATCTCTTCGCCGGTACTTTGAGAATCCATCATTATTTAAAATAGTCTCCTGGCAAAAGTTTTTGGGATAATCCTTTGTGCATATAGGATTATTTTCTCCATTCATACATGGTGCTTTATAATTTAAATGACCACATGGACCATGAACCATTGTTTTTGCGGCAATCTCATATAGCCGTGAATGTATAGTTTGATCTGGTATTTCACAACTTATTATTCGATCAACAGTATTTTGATCTAGTGGCTTATTTTCATTAGCGAGAATTAATAGCATATGACAATGAGGCAATCCACACTTTTGAAATTCAACTACTCTTGTATATGCAATCACTTTTCCAAGGATTTCATTCTTTAACAAATCTTCCATAAGCATATCTAGTTTGAGCTTAAATACTTTGTCTACAATGTCTGGCCGATTAGCAGCAGTCTGTCCAGGATATAGAGATTGAGTAATTTCCTTCCAAGCTGGATTGCATGTGATAGTTAGAAAAATATCAGGCTTACCAAATGCTCGACATATTGCCATAGCATCTTGATAACTTTGTTGCATTGCTCTTGGACTTCCTGAAAAACTTGATGATAATACAATTGCACGTCCTGCAATAGTTCCTCTTTCCTCAGCATTAATAGCCAAATAATCGGATAGTCCCTGATATGTTTCAGCTCGCAATATTATTTGATTCTGACGCTGATAGTTTAGTCTTGTTTCTTCAACCTTTACATATGCATCAACTAAATACTGTTGAAAGAGTTCAGCAGCATATAGAATTGGATTAAAAGTGTTCCTCTGGGCTATCCTATAGCAGTAAAATTGTAGCATCGATATATGTATTCGTCGTGTTTGACCTTATCTATTATTTAATATATATGGATGCCATCCTTTGTCGCCTCTTGGAAATAGTAATGGATATGACATTGGGTCACAGTCACCATTGATAATTGGAATTGTCTTGAGCTGGCCACCACGTGGATGTATAGCAAGA